TCATAGCACCCACCGTAAGCCTCGTATGCCGTATTAAATCGGCCCTGAAACAGAGATTTTTAATGACAGAATTAGGGGAGGTGAAGTACAATCTCGGCTGGTCCATTGAACGGAACCGTGAATCCCGAACGATATTTATCCACCAACAAAAGTACGCCACAAATGTCCTCGATAAGTATAAACATCTCATTTCGTACCCTACTGCAACGCCCTCCGATCGCAGCATCAAGCTCACGAAAGCCATGGAGCTTCAGACCCAAGAAGAGAGGGGGCAATGAAAGACATTCCATACAGAGAAGTCGTAGGTACCTCATGGTTGGCACTCGCCCCGATCTAGCATGCTACATGCGCGAAGTCAGCCAATTCCTAGTAAACCCTGGAAAGAAACACTGGAAAGCAGTGGTAAGAGGGCTAACATATCTATCTGGCACGACTGACCAAGTCTGCTACTTGGTGGATCAACGTCCGTTGATGCTAGTACCCTAGCTGATCATTTGACAGCCTACACAGACTCTGACTATGCTAATTGCCTGACACTAGAAGGTCAGTTGGCGGATACGTCACAATGATCAGGACAAGTCCCTTCTCATGGCTTTCGAGGAAGCACCATACTGTCGCGCTCTCGACTACAGAGGCCGAGTACATTGCCTTATGCCATTGTATGCAAGAGGTCATCTTCCTCAAACTGCTACTCAAAGAGCTTGGTTTCTTGACAACCAAAGCCAATGTTGTCAAAGAGGACAATCAAAGCTTCATTAAAATCGCTAGTAACCCGGACCCCATGGACGATCAGAACATATTGACATCCGTTACCATTTTGTTCAGGAAAAGGTAGAACGACACGAATTCAGCGTCGCTTACTGCAACACTAAGTCAATGGTAGCAGACATCTTTACCAAGTCACTTGACAAGCATCAGTTCCGGAATTTAAGAAGACAACTAGGAATGCAATCATTTAGTACATTAGCAAATAGATAGATCAATAAACACGGTCGAATATATATTCATTTCACAATATCAATGAGTTACAGGACAGTGTGGGGTTTCCCCTACAATAGGTTTACCCACTGCATCCTACAGGTTCTGAGGTTTCCCTGGTACACAGCCACCGAATAAGTAAGAAATACTAATGTAAAATCAGTGAAAAGCCAAATAAGCAATGTATTATCAATATTGTAAAAGTATAATACGACCTTGTATTTTTATAGAAAACAATAAATAACCATGTAAAATGTGTGAAAGACATGAAAAATGAATTATCGGATTTTGTACAAGTTAACATAAAATACGAACTTATATTTATTTAATTCTGAAGGACTACCTTACGGACACACATCAATCTATCAATCCATTCGCCGTAGGACCTGAGTGAACTATTAATGTTGTCATCATAGATTGTCATCCTAGCATCCGCAACTTGAAGGACAAATGCATGTCCAACAGCCACGGTGTTACTCGCAGCAACCAAATATGCAGCGGGGCTGCCGTAGCTTAGCGTCAGAGGAAGACGGTTAACTCAATG